CCATATCTTCCATCTACAACATACCATTATTAGCTAATTATATATTACTATGTTGTATGTAAACTTGCATATGTGATTATTAGAAAATTTGGTGCAGGCACTCGATGTCATTCGTGGAAGAAACATTCAAATGCTGACAGATTCTTGTTTGGAAGGACAATTTTCTGATGATGATGGAACTGAGTTAGTACGCTTGGCGTCTCGATGTTTACAATATGAACCTAGAGAACGGCCTAATCCAAAGTCATTGGCAGCTGCATTGGCTCCTCTTCAGAAGGAAACAGAGGTTGGTTTAGTATTTTTATGTAATAGTTAGGAATCATGTACCAGTAGTAATCAACCAGTATTTTGTTTGAAATCTTGTTTGCTTATTGCAAATAGCTTTGTAGGGGATATTCATAAATTGGTCTAATTCAATGCAAACTGCAGAAACTAAACTGAGCAAACTGAAAACTAAATAAACTATAAACTGAAAGAATTGAGAGAAAGAAATACTAGATTGAACCAGATTTCAAATATAATTTTAAACACTAAATTTATATATCAAGATATAATTCGATCCGATACCACTTTTAAGTAGTCTGTATTAGAGATCATATTAAATCAATCTAAATGGAAACAGAGCTTATTTTTATGGTTATATTAGATGAATTTTTGCTTAGAAACCGATCAAAACTGATGAATAAACACTGTATTTGTTTATATGTTTTAAGTGACCTCAAATGGTTGTGTGGAGAAAAACCAGATTTTTGTTTATATCTGTTCTCTTGTAACATACGCACATCATCTCAAGCAATTAAACTAACATTTATTTAGGCTCTATCTTATACTTAAGGCATATCTTTCTTAGCATATCTTTATTATTCATTCAGGTTATCATATATTTGTACACTATCCATTACATACAGATCACAACAGCTTGGTTAATCAATTTGGAAGTTCAAGTTGTGATTATTTTTTTCTTAACAATATTCATTTATTCTCATTTATTTCTAGGTTCCTTCACATGTCTTGATGGGCATCCAGCACAGTACTAATTTTGCCTCATTATCTCCACTTGGTGAAGCATGCTCAAGGAAGGACTTGACTGCCATACATGAAGTTCTGGAAAATATTGGCTATAAAGATGATGAAGGAGTGGCAAATGAGGTTCTCTTTCTAAATTATATTTTACTGAGTTACTGCATATCTTTTAATTGTTGGGGTTATCTTTTTCCACAAACCATGAACCTAATAACAAATATATATACATACATTCACACAAACACACGACACAAACACACGACACAAACACACGACACAAACACACGACACAAACACACGACACAAACACACGACACAAACACACGACACAAACACACGACACAAACACACGACACAAACACACGACACAAACACACGACACAAACACACGACACAAACACACGACACAAACACACGACACAAACACACTACACAAACACACGACACAAACGCATACGTGTTCTTCAAAAGAAGATAACTTATGTATTTTCTCTACTTTTTTGTGGTATTGCAGTTATCATTTCAGATGTGGACTGATCAGATGCAGGAGACATTAAATTGCAAGAAAAAGGGGGATGTTGCTTTCCGGCAGAAAGATTTTAGACTGGCAATTGAGTGCTATACGCAGGTAGATTACTGATGTTGATAAGTTGGACTTGTCTGAATTGGCTTGCACTTTTTTTATTCAGAGATTGCTGATTAGTTAAATTAGATTGCATATCACAAAATAGATCTCTACTTGATTTTTAAAATAAAACTGAATCTGGTAGTGACCCGATCCTCCAGATCCACTACATGGGAGATTTTCATAATTATGAATAATGCTTTAGATTTCTTGGTAGAGATGCACACTATACCTTATGTTTAGTAAGACTATTGGTCAAAAATAAAGGTTTTTTTTTCACTGATAGTGACCAGATCTTTCATATTGATCTGTTCTGCTCAATGTTTTATTTGGATTCTAATGCTAGTTTAGTCATTATGAGCTCGTTGTTCTTTGCAGTTCATTGATGCTGGAACAATGGTTTCTCCAACAGTCTATGCAAGGCGTAGTATATGTTATCTAATCAGTGACATGCCTCAGGAAGCGCTGAACGATGCAATGCAGGTGCAAGTTGTTTCCCCTGTTTGGCACATAGCATCATATCTTCAATCTGTTGCCCTCACTGCACTTGGGATGGAGAATGAAGCTCAAGCAGCACTTAAAGATGGCACAACTCTGGAATCCAAGCGAAGTGCAACTACCAAGCAAAAATGAAAAAGTGTTGTACATAGACAATTTATTGCTGATTCTGTTCCGCCTGATAACTGCTCCCACAACTATGGTTATAAAGATCATCTTGGATACCAATAGATCCACAAAAAGTTGCATGTGTTCGAAGATTTCTTCAAGAAACAAGGATTGGTTAAGTGTTTGTAACACCCCCTCCCCCTTTTTGTTGGGTCGGCTAGGATGTTCATTTAGTTCTATGATTTGATTGATTGAGCAAGCATGAATCTAAACTCTAGTAATTTTTTTTTGTTATTTATAAATGGTCAAAATGTGAAGAGTTAAAAGCTGTTCAAATTGTGTACTTAGTGTTCGAGTGCCAAGCAAGAGTTGCCTTTTGTCTGGTGCAAACCATTGGGTTTAGGACACCAAAATAGTGTTCATTTCCTACTGTCTTGCATCATCACCCGAAAATATTGTGAACCATGATACTACTATCTATCTTGAATTTTTCATGTCTCAATTTCTACATCAACTTTATATCTTTGTCTGTTTCTCTATTCCCTTATCACTTTCTTTTATTCCTTAGCTATCTCTTCTTTCTCAAGGTATATATATATATATATACATCATAATTCCTGAGCAATTAAGAAAAAAACCTGTTTTCTTTAGCATGAATAGATCTGCCTCAATTAAACATTTAAGATTCATGTGGTGGAACTTGTCCAAATTAAGTCCTCTTCGTTTCACTGACAATAGATACCTTTCCAAAATTGACACTTCAAGGATGACATTATTGATACTTTAATTACAGAAACAAGTGTTCTATTTTAAGTTCATGTATGCAACAGTCGCATAACCCATTTTAACTTCAGTTGTTCACTGCTCAAAGTTTGCATACCCTGATGTTGCACTCAGTCGATGAATCATCATTAGACCAGTCAATAATAGATATTAACACAGCTTTTGAATGCTCAGATTTGACTAATGCAACTTCTTATTTGATGCTCAAAACACCTTTTTAAATTACAATTTTGGTAGCTCAAATTCAGATAAAAGTAAAACAGAAAACATACAGATGCAGATCCATATATGGTGTAATGGTCTTATTCATGGCATTGATAGTGCTGACGAGTGAATCTACAGTTTATTCAGTCTCAACCTCTGTTCATAGCATCATTCTATTACACTACAGTTCCTACACAAGACTACCATAAATCTATGGTTGATCCTTGTTTCTGTCGAATTTGCCTACCTAGTTTTCTTGATATTCTCCCTTTGATCCAAAAATATACTCTTTCACCGTTCTGGGTGCTGAAAGTGTATGCTTCTTAATCTGCCATTAAGAAAATATACCATCGGAAACAAGAAAAGAAAAAGGAGTTTCCCGTAGAATTCAATTACAAGGTAGAATTTAAATTGAAGTTAAATCATCTGAACCAAAACATATAAGGAAAATAAGAAATCAATGTCAAGTATAAATGATCAAGTAACTCAGCAAATAGCAGAAAGCTACTCCATTGCATTAGATTCTGCTTTCCTCTCTTCAGATTCAGAAGTCTGAAGCTATCCTACCATCCCTTTCATTTTTATGGAATAATCGACTCAAAACTTAAAATGATAATGAAGAACCAAACTGTTGTGAACTTGTGACAACTTTCAAGAGGTCAATATCCCGATGAACCAATATGCACTATAATACAACTAATTGTGACAGTGAAGGGAAGCTGTAGATAGCAGCAGTGCCAGAAACAAAGTTAGAATGGTCTCTTCTTGGGCCATGAGGCCAATACAAACTCGTGAAAGTGAAGCAGGAGCTACAAGTTTATAACCTCTAAGCTGTCCTTCAAGGTTAGAGATTATTATTCAATGTTACTTTAGACGGTATAAAGATCCTGATTACTACTGGTGAAGAGATTCTATGTAGTATTTAGAACCTTTCTAATTTGGAAGGGCACCTATATTTAATTGCAAGGCTATAGGTTCTAAATCCGCCAAGGCAACTCCCACTTGGGACATATCTTACGGCTCACAATTCTGCCATACAGGAATGCAACTCCAGGAAACCCTTTTGTATCATTTCTCTACATCTAATTGCAAATTTATAAGAGGCAAACTAATATAAATTTATTGATATCAGAAATGAGAAAAACCTTATAAATCTTTTGTTTCATCACATCTTACATGAAAAAATAGAGTTGGTACCTAAACCATCATGAACAGCACCATAAAGGTAAATAAATATGTTAGGATATTGTTCTCTTCTTCTGTGACCATAGTCACATACCTATCTATTCAACTTGATCTGACAGAAAAATGAATATACTAATTAATGCCTTTAGATGCAATCGCCAATGTAAACAATTCTGATAGCATCCTAGCAGCTGCTGCAGTCTGTTTTTTCTAAAAGACTTTAATGGACTGTTTGGTTTGAGAAATGTTTTTTCTTTTCATTCTCTGTTCTTCACCTTTTTCTTATAAAAATGTCACATTATTTTCACTCTATTTCCTATTTTCAAAAGTTTGTATAGGAAACGGTAGAAACATCTTTTTCTCAAACAAAAACGAAAACAATGTAGTGATTTATGATTAAAAGTGAAAAATTGAAAAAACATTTTCTCCAAACAAATGGTTCTTAAGCATTTCAAAAGCTTTCAATTTTGTTTACGAATCAAATGGTCCACTCGCGATTCATATTCATTGAACAGTGTTTTATGCACTTGTGGTAGAAAAAGCTAACTTCTGGTTCGTCCTAAAAGCAGATATGTAAAAGTAAAAGCCTGAATATGAATATACATTATATTTACATGATTATGATTATGAATTCATGATATATACAGACCAGTTCATAAGCAACAAACATTCCAAAAGCACCATTCTGGCCGATTTGAGGTACACTCTGTCGAGCTGGTGCAGATGTTGCACAATTATAATTAGTGATTACATAACAGAACTCCTAACTACAATTAATTTGGTTAAACAAGCAGGACGTACAGAGCCACCTCCAGCAAAAATTGAAGACATTCATAGCAAAGTTCCCCCTTTCCATTTAGGAGTTGGGCCAGCCATTTGGTGAATGCTCTTCAGAGTGGCTATTTTTCTTAGCAACAAAGCGTGCATGGATTAAATTCCCGGTTGCAATTGCTTCTTGGATGTCATTCTGTGCCTTTTGGCATAGTTCATCAAGTGCAAGCATTGGAAATGGCTCCTCAATGAGAACTCCAACCTACATCAATCAATTTCACATTTTTGGATTAGCTTTCCTCAAAACCAGAAATTTATTATATTTAAGAGAAAATCCATCAATACTTCTTCAGGTGTTCAATCAATTTAGATTTGAGGAAAACCCAAATCTCATCAAACTTTGGCAACGCTCTAACAATAATGAGTGGTTGAAACTAAATTTCTAACAGTGCAAATTCAAAAGCTAGTCAAAGGTGCAGTCCAACAGTCCTCCAAAACAGAAAAAAAAAACATTTTGTATGTACACCCCCATAAATACTTCCAAATTTTTACACAAATCAATTCTCTAAAATACAGCTGATGGGAAGAAAAGCATTGTCACAATTACTCAGAAGAAAGGAAAACCTAAACCTGTTTACATAGTGGATTACTCAGAAGAAAGGAAAACCCCAATAATGTACAATAGCCTAAAATTAATGGTCGCATCCCAATTCTGTTGGCTGCAGTGCAATAAATTATATAACAATATATTTGATAAATAGTCAGGGTAAGGAGAAGAACATACTTCTTCAATGCAAAACAAAGAGGCAGCGCTAATAAAAGTTGCAGGAACCACAATCCAATGACAATCGTCCCAAAGTATGATAGGTAGTGTCAGATGCCACAGGACAAGGAACCTTGATGTCAAACGAGTATATGATAATGGAATGGGAATGCCCATAAGTTGTTCACATATGCCAATTCCTTCATGGAAACAAGAGATCTTTGATTCCTGTGCCGCAATGAGGGAAGTGTTAATTGAGTCATAAGGACCAGGAATTACCACATAGTGAAGTGTTAGTTAACAAATCCAAATCTAAAATACAACTTCGCTACCAAATTACTGAGGAGTAAAAAATTTACATTCTTGACGAGTTCACATGCAACAATGCTGCCTAATTCAACATGTGCAAACATGCCTACAATCAAAGGTTTTAAAAATTGGTCTGCCTCATGATGGTTTCTGAGTCACATCATGACTATAATTGTGGCCACATCAACTGCATTTGACTGCAAGATTTGTTGTATCTGTTGATAATATTTTGAAAGATTAGAGTATCATATCATTTTTTTAAAAGAATATTTTTAAGTTCATGTTTATCTGAAAAAAGGATATTTCTTGTTTCTATCTTTTTGCTTGGTTCTTGTGTATAAATCTCATATATCTACTCCTAATTTCCATGTTTTCTAACTTCTAAGTGACCTACTATTTTTTTCATCTCAACATTTTTTCTCACATTTTTCAGCATTCTCTTTCTCTGAGTTCCTAGGTTTACGTCAAGATATCTTACTGGTTTTAATGCCTCAACCAACATCAAGAGGAGCTTGTTAAATCTTGTAGGAGTTGTGGACCAAGCGGATAAGTCTTAATTCCGGGAGTATTATCTCACATATCCTGTTTCTGTTTATGACCAATTCAATTTGTGGGATTGCGATGCATTCATGAGATCCTGATTTTGGCCAACTATAAGAAGAAAACGCTATCAACCAGGAAATTTCCGACATTTAATTTGAAACCTTGCCAACAATTTCAATTACTGCATACTTACCAGCACATTTCTTCTAGACTCCTCCAATTTCAGCAACCGAATGCTCTGCGATATAAACTCAATAATGCAGCGTGGCTGGTGCTTTGAATTCATTACCACTGCTAGATCATCCACTTCCAGCAAATGCTGAAGATCTCTCCTAATATCCGAACCATACAGCACGTGGCACTGCATTCAAACAGCAAGTTTCACCATCAACCACAACTAACTACCAACCTAAAAGTCCAATCACAAACACCATTCACATTAACATTATAAAAGGCCCAAATAGATAGAACCCTAACACGTTAGACTATGTTTGAATTAAGTTTAAAAAGTACTTCTGCAAATTCGAATGCACCAAATGAAGAAGAAATTGTTGTCTTCAGGTTAAAAATTGATCTAAAATTGTTGTCTTCAGATTTAGCTTTTGGGCCTGTTATATTAACAAAACGATTCCAAATAAATTTAAAATCAGATTTTAGAGAAGCTAATGGAAAATATCTTCTATGAATTAACTCAGACAAGCTAATTTCAGTTAAGGGAGAAACTGTTTCATTTTTCCATCCTACAAGTTCTAATCGAGAAATTTCTCCAAGCAAATCTATTGCTTAAATTAAAGTTGAAAAAAATACTTTTGCTATTGAAATGCATCAAACGAAGATAGAACTGGTTGCATCTAAAAACCTCTTTTGAGCTCTCCCAACTGATTCAAACACAAACTTAGATCTAGGTTTTAGAAAACAGTCATCTAGGCTGCAATCTGCCACACGAATTGCATTGGTCTGCACTTTTCCACAATACGAAAAATTGCGATTAGAATTGAAAGGCTCAGAAAGAGAGACCTTAAGCGCAATGGGGAAGGCGATGATGTACTGCAAAAGCGCGTGCTTGACGGAGAAGTCGGCGTTATCGACGTCGTCAAGGAAGGCGGCGGCTTGTCTGGCGAAATCGTGGGTACCGGCGATGACGTTGGTCCAGGCCTTCTTGCCATCGACGAAACGAGCGTAGGAGGCTTCGGTGCGGAACACAAGGAGGAGGGCGAGGGCGGGGGCGGTGAGCTGGTAGGGGAGGGAGGAGGAGTGGAGGAGGGGGAGGAAGTCGGGGAGGATGTGGTGGATTAGGGCTTGGTTGTAGGAGGCGATGGCGGCGGCGAAGCCGGTGAAGAAGAGGACAGGGGGTACGAGGGAGAGGATGACGCGGGAGGAGAGGCTAGAGAGGAGGTGACGGAGGTGGCGGATAGAGCTGCGGTGGTCGCGCCAGTTCAGGTGGGTGTAGAGGGAGCGCTTCTTCTGCATGCCGCGCTCCTGCACCGTGTCGGCCCAGTCCGGGATGGAGCGGAGGAGGGAGATTAGGGCCTGGTCGGGCCCGGAGGCGGGCCCGGTAGGCAGAGAGGCGGAGATGGTGGGCTTTTTGTTGGGCTTGGGAAGGAGAAGAAGGAGGTTGTTGTTGAGAGGGCATTTTGGGCAGAAGAGAGAAGAGAAGAAGGTAGTGGGTTTGAGTTGTCGGGTTCTGGGTTGGTGGTACATTGAGTTGGAGAAGAAGAGGAAGAAGAAGAAGAAGAAGAATAATAGAAAAACATGGAACACTTCTACGTTGATTATGTTAAGGTTTGTTTTTAGTATGTGGGAAATTATTATTGGGTGGCTCTGTTTCCAACCAAACTCTGTTTCAGACCAAGGCAAAGTTAATCCTACGTTTCAGAAAGACTGTGAACCAAACATGCTATGTGTTGGTTGGTGGGGATGAGGGGCGTTTTAATTTCAAAGAACCGTTGATGGCATGGTTGGTAGGTTTGTTCGAAGGTGTTGGTGATGGCTTGGTGGATAATGCACCACGTTTTTAGACCTTTTTAATTCACCTACTAAATATCTACCCATACTAAAAAATATCTTCTAAAAGGTGTTCATAGATTAAATAAACTACTTTGGAACTAGTTTACAAACTTAATTTGATGGCTTAAGAGATTTGATAATATAAAACATGGTTATTAACTCTATACATTGATTTGATTGTGCATTTTTGTCTTTACCTTCTGCATTGTGTGTTGTCATATATAGTTTTTGTGATTTGTTGCATTTTTTTGTCATTTGCAATGAAAGAAATTCATGTGTTTCCAGACCACAAGATTAAGTTTTTGTTATAGCAACAAGCCACAACTCCAGGAGGTTTTTCATATTCCATATTTTGCTAGTTCTACAAGCCATGTCTCAATTAGCCATTTGATTATGTTTTCGTAAATAGCTAAACTTGTGTGGAAAGCTATTTACGAGGAGAATTAGCACGCGCATACCACCAAGGAAAACAATAGAACACTAGGGATTTGATTCTCACGTGTAATATGAGAGATTCTCCTTATATTAGGTGAAAAGATAATCGATTCTTGGATGTAGAGGAAGAGAAGAGAATCGATTATCTAGCTATTAGGTGATGACAAAATTGATTCTAACTGCAAAATGAAATAAGATAATTGATTATCTTGACGTTCGAGTTCTCCTTCATGTGCCATGAAATCTCTCACCCAAAAGTAGAAGCCATACACAGTGGAAAAGTGAAAAAACATCAAGGACAAAACGGTAACTGTGTTGGGAGTGGGTTGTCTTTCCTCTTAAATCTCCCGTTACATTAAAGATGAATTTCGTCTCCACTTTTCCAAATTTGTCATCACAACTTCTTATATATATATATATTTTACTGTTAACTCATATAATTATAATACAAAAATATAGTTAGAGATATTATTACATTAATAAAAGACCATGATAAAGTTTTCTAAGAAATAACATAAACAATGATCAAATCATTACTACACTACATTGTTGTACCACTCTCATTCTAGATCAGGCTATTTCCTCGTATGCTCGTACCATTAAAATAATCATTGCAAACAAGAGAACACATAAACAAACAAATGCAAAGAAAATGATAAGCTAATGTGCAAAAAGAACAATGATATAATAGGTATAGAGATATTAACACATGTGAATCATTCATATCAATCATCTTAGCATATACAAATTGTTACTATGGACTTATAGCCGACCGAACGGTAAAGGTGCGAGGGAGCCTCTAAGTTATTGAGCTTAGGGTCGACCGATGGTACCTCCTAGGCAAATGAACTGAGCGGACAAACAGTTAACCGCTCGGTAAAATGGGCTCGCAACCAACCGTATGATAAAGGGGCAGAAGAATCGGCCGACCGATGATATCTCTCAGGTCAGTGAACCGACCAGTAAAAAGAGCCGTTAAGGTAATCAATATTAATAACTGTCGGATAGTTAATGAAAATAATTGTCATTTATTGACAATTAATAATCTCATTTATGGGTGATTAATGAGTCAGACCTAACGGTAAGCTCATTATAGTTTATAAATATTTGTCTGGCAAGGAAGACAGGTAACTTTAACTTGAATTGAGACTTAGAGCTCTGATAACAAAATCTTGATTACAAGATTATTACGCAAAGTCACTGACTTGAGCGTCGGAGTGTCTTTTGCAGGCACCCTCCCCCGCGGCTCGGACAAGAAGAAGAGAGAAGACAGCACAACTGGACATCGGAGCAGACAACTTTGAATGTTTTGGATTAGGGTTTTAAATCCTGCCGAAACACAAATATTCATACTAGACTCGATTATTCGAATAAATATATTTTGATATCAGACTTTGATAAACTATGCATTTGTGGTAGCCTCTACTTCTCTACATAGTCATTATCAACAATTTTCACCCTACCACACACAAGGTTAGGTTGTTAACATATTTGACCAATGTAAATCTCCTAGACTAGGACCTCATGTTCCTTTCACCACATACCTCATCCTTCTACTTGATATTTGATAACTATTAGAGCGACATGATAACTCCCAATACGGAATCCATATATCAATACATACTTTACTGAAAATCACCACAATAAACTTCTCATTTTTCACAACATTTAACACACATACTCACAACAATGTTTTAAATCCATAAAAACATAATAATACATCTTAAACATAAATAAAACCATAATAAATCTATCTCAAACAAGTCACACCATAAAAAAAAGTAATTATACACATTGAATCTCAAATGTGACACTCAACACCAAACATTTTGCCGAAGGTTGCGCTCATCACAATGAATTAGCGTTCAACGTTATTTTGCCACCGCTCAATGGTGTATAAGATTTCAATAAATTAAAATATATGATTTAAGAAAAAATAACTTATTCAAATGGTCAAATCAGTATTCCTTACTTAATACTTTAGTAAAAAATAACTTTTAATGTTAGGGCACATACCGACTTGTTCAATTGATTACATTCTAAATTCCTCAATTCAACATGAATTCAATTTGTGCAAACAACATATAATAATCCAACAAAAACAAAATTCCAGCAAATTTAACATCATTATATCACTAAATCATGCAAAACATAAATTGCAGACATCTATAACTTAGAAACAAATGTCATTGACTTCCCTTACTTACAATACAATCAAACAGCTTGAGAAACCTATAAACATATCTTAATGCATAGAAAATGTTATTTTCCCCTAAGAACAACACAAACATGATTATGGTATACCATTATAACCATTTATCATCAAAAAATCTTATAGAAGACTCAAACACTATATGCGAACTAAAATAGTCCACATGCACAGAAAATCATCCAGACTAAAAAATGACAGAAAACTAACTTTCTCTATTAAAGAAATCGATTGGATAGAAATGGAGAACTTGTCTCAAAGATCACCTTAGCAGTGTCTAATCTCCAAACAAATGAGTTGACAATTAGAAACTATATATAAAAAAAAACTCTAGAAAAAAATAAGTTTAAAGAGAGTGTGATTTTAAGATAATAAAAATTGTATATAATTTTTTTTTATATTTTAAACTTTTATTTATAAAATAATTTAATCTCATTATTTTAAAACACACTGTAATTCTAAAATACGATTTTATAACCTTCTACATACCTTATTAATGAAAATTTAAAAGAATATTTTACACTCTTTTAATTATTTTTTCTATTTTAATTTAAATTGATATTTTAAAAATTAATAATTATAAATTTGTAGAGTTAATTAAAATTAAAATTTATCATAAATATGAATATTTTTATTGTGATTTTATCTCATGATTTTTTTTACATATTAAAAAATTGTGAGATATTATAATTAATATAAAATAATAAATAACTAACTTTTGTTTACTCTCCTTTAAGGGATCGTTATATGAGAATCGATAAAAAGATAATGATAATAATAATAATATTTATTTTATCATAAGATATGATATGACCACATAAAAATCATAAAATATATGGATATCTTTTATACGATATGTTTTACATTAGATAATGTGAGATCCTTAATAATTAGCTTAAGTTAATCCTG